TTCTCTCTCTCAAATAAATAAATAAAATCTTTAAAAAAAAAAAAAACTCTCAAGGCCACCAAAAACAAGGACAGTTAGAGAAATCATTACAGCCAAGAGAAGCCTAAGGAGACCTGATGACTAAATGTAACTGGGGTCCTGGAACAGAAATAGGACATTAGGGGAAAACTAATGAAATCTGAATAAAATATGGACTTCAGTTACTTTTAATATAGCAATAATAATAATTTTAAAAGAATTCATTTTTTAGTTCCTCCATTATGTGAATGTTTGTAAGTCCTGAGGACTGACAGTGAGTGCCAAGTATACAAAATCCGTGCTCACTTCCGGCTGGTACCTGGCAACCTCAGGGAGCTGTCTCCCTTTAACTGTGTCCTTACCTCCTCTCACTTATTTCTGGAAAGCTCCTTTATCTCCTTGAGCCTCCATTGTCTAATCTATAAAATGGGGATAATAATAGCTTTTTCATCAGTTTCAGGAGGATTAAGTGAGAAAACATAAAACACGTAGGCCTGGCACATAATAGATGTTCAATCAGTGTTAATCATCTCCTCTGCTGCTTGCTCTTCTGCCTTTGAGAAGGTTTAGGTTTCCATGGAGAAAGGACACAGAATTTGGAATAAAAAACCTGGATTCAAGTCTTAGCTCTACCATACTAGCTGTAGACTCAATTTACTGAATAACTCTGAACTTTAATTTCTTTGTCTTCTACCTGGTTTTATCCTTTATTCCTCTCATGGGGTCCTGTCGACAACAGGTGCTTAACGTGTGATAATGATGGCAGAGAGTCCCAAGTCTGTATCTTTAGTTTTATACATTCCCCCCCACACACACCCCAGGGTGTTCCTGGGTATTCTGCTTTCCAAATGAAATATTTAGCTGCATGTTGGAGAAATGGGATCATGTAGAAAGTTCTAGCAAATGCCTTAGGATCTGAACGTCCTGAGTTCAAAGCTCATCCTGCCATTTATTACCAGCTGTGTGAAATTAAGCAAGTCCCTTCATTTTTAAACTGGGGTTAGCATCTTCGTCATAGAGTCCATGTGAAGATTAAATGGGACCAAACAAGGTGATATATGTGAGTGCGCTCAGCACTACACTCCGTGGGTGTAGATTATCCTCCATCCTGCGTCAGGCATGCCCTAGCTTCTCTCCCAGACCGGTTCCTTCCACCCCCATCCCCCAGACTGCCCTGCCACTGTCAGCATCGGCCTTCTCCCAGGCACTAGGTGGAAAACACTGTGGTCATTTCATTTTTTTTTTTTAATTTAAAGATTTTATTTATTTATTTGAGAGAGAGAATGAGATAGAGAGCATGAGAGGGGGGAGGGTCAGAGAGAGTGGCAGACTCCCTGCTGAGCAGGGAGCCCGATGCGGGACTCGATCCCGGGACCCCAGGATCATGACCTAAGCCGAAGGCAGTCGCTTAACCAACTGAGCCACCCAGGCGCCCCCACTGTGGTCATTTCAGACAGCCCTCATCTTCGGCCCCAAACCTACTCAGGCAGTCGCCATAGGTGACAGTTTGTGTGAACCTATGCCTGCAGCCTTCTGCTTCCACAAAACCTATCTTGACCACTTTGGTCCTCACCAGTGTCTCACCTCTGATGGTTCGTGGACGGCCAGACCGCACGTGGGGCTTGCTGATATCTCATTAAGGATTGTTCACCATTTAAAATTGCTCTTACATGGTTGTAGGATTTCACACTTGCCACACGCACACATACTCTCCCCTTGACTTCTCTCAGCAGTTTAGCAACGACAGGAAATTAGGGAGTAATTCTTTTAAGATTGTATTTATATATATACTTATTTATTTGAGAAAGAGAGCTCGAAAGGGGGGAGGGAGAATGAGAGAGAAAAATCTCCAGCAGACTCCACACTGAGCAGGGAGCCCAGACCATGAGATCATGACCTGAGGCGAAATCAAGAGTTGGCCACTTGGGTGCCTGGGTGGCTCAGTCGTTAAGCGTCTGCCTTCGGCTTAGGTCATGGTCCCAGGGTCCTGGGATCGAGCCCCACATCAGGCTCCCTGCTCCTCAGGAAGCCTGCTTCTCCCTCTCCCACTCCCCCTGCTTGTGTTCCCTCTCTCGCTGTGTCTCTCTGTCAAATAAATAAATAAAATCTTTAAAAAAAGAACAGTTGGCCGCTCAACCAACTGAGCCACCCAGGTGCCCCAGGGAATATTTTTTACAGATGAGAAAATTCAGGCTCAGAGAGGCAAAGGGACATGGCCAGGGCCATCCACAACACATCGACCACAACAGCAGAGAGCTGGTTTTTGAACTTGCTCTCCCTGAGGCCAGCATCCAGTCCAGGGCCCCACGGCTGCCAATACTGTTCCAAACATGTTCCTGTCAGCAGCATACGTAAGCTGACCAGAAATCCTGGCTTTCCCGGGAATGCCCTGGTTTATACCTGTTGTCCCAGTTTCATTATTCACATCATCCCCTTTTACACTCTTGGTTTGAGTGATAACCGACATGGTCACCTGAGCTGTATGAGATGCCCAGAACTGGTTTTCAGTAAATGCTTGACTGGACGATTGTGTGGAGGTGCTGATGTCTGCTTCTATTTTTTGTGCAGCTGTATGACCTGATGACCATGGCTTTCAAATACCAAATACTGCTGTGTCCCCGGCCCAAAGATGTGTTGCTGATCACTTTCAATCATTTAGACGCCATCAAGGGTTTCATCCAAGACTCCCCAGCCATCCTGCATCAGGTGGAGGAGACTTTCCGGCAGTTGACTGAAGTAAGCGGGGCGCCGGTTCATCACCTCTCAGCCCCATTCTTGTTCTCATTCCCCTGTTAAAAACAGCCAGATTCGGGGCACCTGGGTGGCTCAGTCGTTAAGCATCTGCCTTCGGCTCAGGTCATGGTCCCAGGGATTGAGCCCCGCATCGGGCTCCCTGCTCCGCGGGAAGCCTGCTTTTCCCTCCCCCACTCCCCCTGCTTGTGTTCCCTCTCTCTGTCAAATAAATAAAATCTTAAAAAAAAAAAAAAAAAAAAGCCAGATTCTATGACAGAACAGGATGACGGATGCCAAAGCCTGCCACTCTCCTGAAGAATCCTAAAAATCTACAAGTATCCATTTGGTCATATAACAGGCATTACCGTCTTAGGCCCTCTCACTGTGGGCTTCCACATGCGGAAAGCAACGACACAGGGCATGGCCATTTCCTCTTGACTTTTCTGAAAGGGAGCTGGCGGGGGCCCCTCCAGGTCTGGGGGGAACAAGAGAGGTGAAGTGTCCCCCAACTTGGCCGTGGCCCACTGGGGTCGGCCGCACTGGCTCTGCCGCTGCCCCTCTCAGCCCCAGCAGCTGAGTCCCCTGCCTGCTTCTGTGGCTCCCGCCCCCCAGTGCCCGCCTAGCCCTGCCCGTCTGCACTTCTCACCTCACTTCTGGAAGTGAAGCGCTTCTCTCTGCTTTGCATCCGGCAGATATACGGGGCACTGTCTGCGGGGGAGTTCCAGCTGATCCGGCAGACGCTCCTCATCTTCTTCCAGGACCTGCACATCCGGGTGAGTGAACGGGCAGCCCAGGAGCACGCTGCCACTGCCGTCCTAGGGAAGCAGTGTGCCAAGTGGTCAGGCAAAGGAGGGCTGAGGTTGCCCAGTTAGTGATTCCTCCATGGTTGGCTCCATGATGATAAACTTTCTGATAACAAATCTCAGCAGTTTTTAAATGGACCAAGGAAGACAATGATACCACCATTCCTTCCCAGTTACTTTATGTGTTCCTTTAAAATATGATTTATTCTCTTCTCTGGAGGAAATGTGTTCTCAAGGCTACCAGCCTGATATCAGTGAGAAAGCCTTTTCTCAAACCGTTAGCATCCTTGACTTCTCCAGTATCTGCCCCTGGCAGGAGGCTGCCCTCCCACTCCATGAAACCCACCTTTCCTGGACTCTCATGGCGCCAGACCATCCTGGCCTTGCTTTACCCCTCCCAGCTCTGTGCCCCTCACTCCTTCCTCCCCCTTTCCTTCACCTTCACCTAGGACTTCGGAGTCTCACCTACACCCTCCCCTTGCCCTAGCCCTGCCACCTAGACCCACATCTCCACCTGCTTGCTGAGCTCTCCGTGAGGAGGCACCCAGTGCCTACAATGTAAGGTCTGCAGTGAAACTCATCTCCAAAATTCCAGTCCTGCACCACTTCCAGCATCCCGATTTCTTGTGAGGGCCCCACGACTTCTTCACTCACTCAGCTCAGAAGCAGAGCATGACCTTTGATTCCCCTTCTCTGCTCTTCATCTAAAGCTCTCCCAAGGCTGCCTTTTCAGGGTCCACATCCTCCTTCCCCTCCCCGCTGCCCCCAGGCTGGCTCAGGCCCCCCTCTGCCTGTTGGCTGTGGCTCCCAACTGACCCTGCGTCCTGACCCTGTCAGGCCTACTTGGGACAACTCCACACACTGCTGAGCTCCTGAATGTGGGGCCTGTCTCTCTTGGACAGGACTTCGTTCCTCTGCATAACTTAACACGATGCTCAGGGAAGGATGGGTGATAGGGCCAAATGAGCCGAGGCTCTGGAGTCAAACATCCTGGCGTCTGAATCCCAGCTCCAACACAGCTCCATGAGCTTGGGCAAATTACCTCTCTTGAGCCTTACCTTCTTCATCTGAAAACTGGACATGATGATGCCTTATTGCGAGCGTATACTGATGCATCGTGTGTAATATGTGTGGATTTGCTTGTACGTTTCCTTCCAGAAACTGGTCACAGTGATTACCTCCTGGTTGTGGAGAACTGCATGGAGAATGGGAACAGGACAGAGACTTATGTTCCATCATATATCTTTTGAACCTTTTGAATCTTGTACTTGTGTAGGCGTAACATATTCACACAATAAAATTCAAAAAAAAAGAAGCAGTAGGATGCACTTAGTGCCTGATCATTATTTCCCCTCCACGGACCAGGGAAGACAAATAGATTTCAACTCAGAGGCCAATTTTATGTTTAACCCTCATGAATAATTTTATTTGCTATGGATCGAGTAATAATAACACCAATATAAATTAAGATCTCTAATAGTCATCGATTAAAATAAAAAATATGAAACTACAAATAAGATTAAGTTTTACATTGCTTTAAAATATTGAAAACTCTGCATCAGATTCTTATCAAAATGGTGCCTATTTGGACATTGTTTTATGGATTGTAGCAATATGAGCAGCCATATTGATTTCTCAGTTCTGACAAGATAAAATTCATTATAATGAAAAGACACTCCTAGTAATAAGTTTATAACAAAATCATTAAAATACATTAAACTACAAAATATATTAAGCTTTAATTGCTAAATAGGCAAGCAATGAAACATCAGAATGGTCATGAAGAAAAATAGGAATCACATATCCTGACGATATTCAGCCACCGCTGTGACACTTGGCTGGTCTTCCAAATCTGGTCTTGAATGGTATTTCTGCTCAGCTGCAATTTGTGCTTGCCAAGGCAGATTTTCTCTGTTTTCAAAACAGCCTTGGTAGTCTTTAGATTTGTTAGTAAAACCAACTAAAAGTCAAGAAAACACTGGTCTGATCTAACACTCCCTTGCTTATTGTTTAACCAAAGCAAACGCAAAACGCCGCATCCTGATATCCACAGCTTTCTGTGGTATCAAGAAACAACCTGAAGTGGTCTGAATGTGCTCAAGGCCCTGACCTGCACCCAGGCCTGGCCACAGACCGCCCAAAGACCACTTCCACGTGGAATCCTGAGCAGTTCTTTACAACCATTCCAATCCCCAACCCCCTCAGCCCTCCAGAGTCCTTCCAGAGTTGCCTCCGAAAGGGTAGGCTCCTCAGCTCAGCCACCTTCTCCTGTACTCTCATTCCCATTCATGCTTCCTTCCCTCGAGGACTTTCCTCGTGTGCCTCCCGTTGTTTCAGTTGTTGGAAAACATCATGCCATCTTTGCCTCTTCATAGAACGTTCCCTATCCCTCCCCTCCACGACCCGCTCTGCTTGGAAACAGTTCATCCCTGTGACACTCGTCAATCCACCACAGGTTTATAGAGCGCACCATTTTCAGTGTTAGAGATACAGAAGTGAACAAGACCGAGGCCCTGCCTTAACGAGGTTCTACGCCTAGTAGGAATAGACAGGGAGGATAAGTAAGTCATGTTCTTGTTCTGATAACTTTAGGAAGATGGCAAGATAAGGTAAAGTTATAAAGGGCAACAGAGATGGGATGTCGCCTGCGACCAGCGCTGTCCAATAGCCCTTTCATGATGGAGAGTGTATCTGTGCTGTCTAGTACAATAGCCACTAGCCACAGGTGGCCACTGAGCACTTGAAATATGGCTAGTGTGACCGAGAAACTGAATTTTTAATTTAGCTCAATTTTGTTTTTTTTAAGATTTTATTTATTTGTTTGTCAGGGAGAGAGAGAACACACGAGCAGGAGGAGGGGCAGAGGGAGAAGCAGGCTTCTCCTCGAGCAGAGAGCCCAATGCAGAACTCGATCTCAGGACCGTGGGATCATGACCTGGGCCAAAGGCAGACGCTTAACCGACTGAGTGCCCCCAGGTGCCCCTAATTTAGCTTAATTTTAATAGCCGCACTTGACTAGTAGCTACTGTACGGGACAGCACATCCTTATGAGAGAGTTAGAGTCGAGTCAAGGGCAGCCTTTCTGAGGACAGACATTTTAGTTGAGAACGTGACTAACAAAGACCTCAGGGAAGCACATCTAAACGGAAGGGACAGCAAGTTCAAAGGCCCTGAGGTGGACAAAGCACGACGGAGAGGAAGCCAGTATGAGTGAGGCGCGTGTAAGCAGGAGTGCTGCAGTTCACAGGTGTAGTGTGCAGGGGGGGCACTAACGGATCAGGCCAGACGCCAGTCATAACCGAACTGGCACCTACCAGCTGACTTTAGCTTTATACCCTAGTGAGGAGTTTAGTTTGTTCTTAGAGTAAAGAAAACATTTCAGGCCTCCTAAGGTAAGTGGTAACATGATCTGATTTGTGTTCTGGAAGAGGAACTGCATGGGACAGGGTTGGAGGGAGGACAGCAGTGAGGACACTATTGTAGAAATCTAGGTAGAAAATGAAAGTTCTTGGCGTAGGTGCTGCCACTGGAGATAGCGAGAACTCGTCACATCTGGGGTATCCCTTCAGGGCAAGAGCAGTAAGACTTACTGAGAAATTGAACGTGGGGAGGAAGGAAAAGACGAATGAAGAATGACTACTATGTTTCTGGCCTGAGCAGCTGCTGGTGCCTAGTGCCATTGACTGAGAGGCAGAGGGACTGAGGGAAGTGTATTTGGGTAGAAAAATTAATTAACTCTATCTAAGTTTGATTTGCCTATTAGACCTCCTATTTGGCGATGTCAAATAAGCAACTGAATATGCAAATTGAGAGCCCAGAGGAGAGATGGTCAGCATACATCATAGAGATGGCATTTGAAGTCTTCTGGCTCTTGGTGGAGACTGGTCATTCTCCCTCGTCCACCGGTAGGATGTGAGAAGCAGGGTCGGCATTCTGCCACCTGCCCCCTCACTTTCAGATCTTTATTCTCCTGCCCTCACCAACGTGGCCCTCCTCTAGTGAGGCCAGACCAGCCACTACAACACTGTGCAAACCCTGCACTCAGCACTCACTGCTGAAACTTCCTGCCAAGCCACTCACCTGTGTTCCCAGAGTGTTCACATCCCTGGCTCACTGTCCTCCTGGCCACCAGAGCCCTGTCCCCACCCTCGGGAACATGCCTCATCCAGCACTCTGGCCCCACAGCTCTATGACCTTCATTTCCTCTTTCCATAGGAAACATGCTTCCTGCCCTCAGGAACTCATTAGAGAAGGGGAAAAGGCACCAAGTGCCTTGCAGATGTTTGATTTTAAAACAGGAGAGTATAAAGAGAGAGGCCACAAAGGAGGGAGTGGTCAGTTCTACCTAAGAGAATCAGAAAAGTCAGGGCGCCTGGCTGGCTCAGTTGGTGGACCATGCGACTCTTGATCTCTGGGTTGTGAGTTCAAGCCCCACGTTCAGTGTAGAGATTACTTAAATAAATGTTTTTAAAAAGAAAAGAAAACGAAAAGTCTTCATAGAGGATCTGACATCTTTTTTTAAAAATGGGTTTTCACAGGCCCATGGGAGATAAGGGGAGGGGTTACCTGGACATCCTAGGTGAAGGACACCACCCCAATAAGGGCATGAGGCACGTAACCGCCTGGGGTATTTGGTGGTGCAGGGGGTGCAGAAGGCTGCAAGCGTTTGGGTATGGCTGGAACGTAGGATTCAAGGAGGAACATGGCTACAGAAAAGAACAAGGGCCAACTGGACATTATCAGGCAGGCAGTAGAGAGCCACTGAAGCAGGGGAGGGACATGGTCAGATAGAAGTTTAGAAGAGTCTCTGCAGCAGCCCATTGGAGGAGGGATCACAACCGGGTGAGAGGGCAGGCAGCGAGGTCAGTTAGGAGGCACCTGCAGTGGCCAAGTCAGAAACAACAAAGGTCTGCACCAGGGACCAGGGCGGAAAGGAGGGGCCAGATACAAGGAGGGATACTGGGGAGGCAGGGCTTGACGACTGAATAGACATAGGAAGGTGGGGGTCAGGGGAGCTCAGACTGCTGGCTTGGTGCCCTCATGGTGTCATCCACTACGACTGGGAACACCAGAGGAGGATCCATGATGACCCCTGTTCTGAGCAGGGTGAATTTGAGGTGCATCCCACGAAACCTATAGGTGGACATGTCTAATAGGCAATGGGATAGATGCATCAAGTGCCCAGGGAAGAAGGCTAAGTGGCAGCTCGAGATCTGGGAGCCATCAGCACGGATGTGAACACTGGGAATACATGGGATCAGCTGGGGGAAAAAAGGGTGGAGTAAGAGGAGAAGGACAGGGGAGAGTCGCACTTAACAGCTGAGGGCCAGCAGAGGGGCTGGGCAAGCAGACAGACCCAACAGTCCTGTCCAGCCAAGGGCAGGTTGTTGGGTCAAACACAGCTACACGTTGGACTGAAGTGTGTCCATTTCAGACCTGCTGTGACATAGTCAACTGTGTAGAATTATTGCTCACAGAGGGTCCAGCACATATATATACATTCCCACGTCTCTAAATTTTCTTTCTCTGTGCTTGTATTCACATTCTTGGTCACAGAATCTCAAGGGCAAAAATTCCTTAACGGTTGTCCAGCCAAACCCTCCAATCAAACCAGTTTACACATTCCCCCGAAAACATACCTTCTGCCCTCCCATCTCTGCTTCTAAAATGTCTTTACACCCACCTTCCTCTAGGACCAGCTCCAAACCCACAGTTAGCCCTACCACCCCCATGCCTGTGGTCATTCTCTTCAGTGGGTCACTTAACTATGCATATGCTACCCAGCATCTCCTGCTTTATACTGTCCCTTTCTCCCATTTTATGCTTGGGTCCTGTGTCCAGTTAGACTGCAATACTGAGAGTATTAGCTACCATGTATTGAGCACTTACTATGTGTCAGACTCTGTGATAACTGCCTTTTCATTATCTGATTTAGCGGGTAACACTTGCCCATTAAATAGATGCTATTATTACCCCTGGTTTACCAAAGAGAAAACCAATGCACAGAAAGGTTGTGTAACTTACCAAAAACCCAGAGCCAAGGAGTGGCCCAGGCGGGGCATGAGCCGAGCCAAACTGCCAGCTTATGAATTCTTACCGCTTCCCATTGTCGTTTGTTTGCACGCAACAGACGCTTACTTTTGATGATATTACGAATATAATCTTGTAGCATTTTAGAGTTAAGGGATCTTCAAATTTATCTCATTTTACAGATGAGGAAGCTAAGATCCAATAAAACTGATTAACTGCTACAGCCTTTATGGGATTTAATCTGACCCTGACCTCGACATGAAGTATGCAAACCAGGGGGCGCCGGCTGGCTCAGTCGGTAGAGCAGGCGACTCTTGATCTCTGGGTTTTGAGCTTGAGGCCCATGTTGGGTATAGATATAGAGATTACCTAAAAAAAAATAAAAATAAATTTTTTTAAAAAGTACAGAAACCAGGGAGTAGAAATAAGCATAATGTGGTGTTTTCAGTCACATAGAAAAACTTCAGACTCTAATGCCAACCGTATCCACGTGCTCTGGCCTCTTCCCACCAGTCCAGCACATGGCCAAAAGATTGGGCTCCAGAGTCAGAAACACAAGGGTTGAATCCTCAGCTCTGCCCCCTGTGAGCTGGCTGGCCTTGAGAAAGTGCCTCAACCTGTAAGCTGCCAATTCCTCACCTGTAAAATGAAGGTTCGGATAGCTCAAGCCTCACAGATGTATGGGAAGTTCGACAGGGAAACAAGGAATGGGTGTGGAATTAGTTTTGAATCGTGGCCCTGTCTCTTACTATTCTCTTCGGGCAAGTCACCTCACTCTGGGAGCCTCAGCTTCCTCATCTCTAAAATGGGAGTAATACAGTTCACCTGGAAGACTTGCTGTGCACTTCAAAAGGTCTGTTTGTAACAACACCGTAACTCTGCAGGGCTAGTTATGCTGAGTCTTTCTGTCTCGTTGTTATAAACTCACTAGGTAACATCCCCAAGCCATTATACATCTACCCATCCTCAGAGTGCTTGTGTCTAGAAAAATATACCAAAAAAATGACAATAAGTGTATTTTTTTTCCAGGTATCCATATTTCTAAAGGACAGAGTCCAGAATTCTAATGGTCGCTTCGTGTTGCCCGTGTCCGGGCCTGTTCCCTGGGGAACTGAAGTTCCTGGACTCATCAGGTGAATTCTCAACTGTAACCGTCAGACCAACGTTGGGGTGCCAGGGAACAAACACGTGGGCCACCACAGAGAATGCGGCACTGCTGGGCGCCCCCTTCCTTCAGTAAAGCACCGCAGGTAGAAGGTCAGGTTCTCATCCCAGCTGTGCCACTGAGCAGACACTTGAGGCCAAGCACCCAGTTCTTCAGGATTCACTTCCTCATCTATTAAATGGTTGCTGTGAGGGTGAATAAGATAATAATGCTCTAAAGTGCTTGCACAGCACCTGGCACATCATATGCGCTTGGTAAATATTATTATTATTGTATTATTATTATTATTGCTTCAGCCAGCATCTTTATCTTGAAGGAGTGCACGAATTCCTTTTTGTCCCATAGTACAAAGAATAACGAAGCCTCCAGGACTCCCCAAGCTTGGAGAACATTCCATCATGTCATATTTGTATTGTAGAATGTTCAACGACAGAGGCAAAGAAGTGAAGAAGATAGAATTCAAGCATGGTGGACACTATGTCACTGCACCAAAAGAAGGTTCTTTTGAACTTTATGGAGACCGAGTCCTGAAACTGGGAACCAATATGTAAGCAAATTCTCCCTCCCTGAATGAATTCAAGTCTGAGGGAGGTCACTTCACTTAAAAAACCAGCTTGACTTCCACTATGAAAATCCCTGCTGACAAGTGAAATCATTTCCCCTCTCAGATACAGTGCATGCAGAGCGCTGACATTTTCAAAGGGCCCCCAACATTTCCAAACATAAGGCAACGCACCAGACTGAAAAGATAAATAATTGTCAGTAGCCACGGAAAAGAACTAGCCCAAACCTGTGTCGCAGTGGAGGTCAGAAAGGCGAGGCCTTCACGTAGTGTTCACATTTTCTGCAGTAAAATATGTTCCTTTGCCAGAAGAGCCACTTCCACGCAGCCTCGCAGGTATTTTTCTTTGGGAAAGCATGAAGTCTGTATGGTTGGCACCCACTCAGTTATATTCTGTACTCCCAGCACATTTCTGGATGCTTTTTAATGTCTCAAAATAGAAGTTACGCGCTCTGTTTATGAGTTAGAAGGAAGTCGGTGTGAAAGGGCTGGGCAGTGTTTTTACAATTTTCCGTTGATACCAGGTACAGTATGAACCGGCCCGTGGAAACCCACATGTCTGGAGCATCCAAAAACTTAGCTTCCCGGACACAGGTGAGCTGCTGCCTTCCTTCTTCATCTTCAGAGCTTACTTCTCGACACACAAATCTAGACGGGGAGAAGGGTGGAAACTCTAGACTTCAAAGCTAGCCAGCGTTTTTCCCTCATTGTCTGCCATCTTCTCAGTTCAGCCTTACAAGGACAAAGGTTTTTAATTGTAGTTTCTCATGAAGACTTCCAGTGATCTGACTAATTAGGTAATTTTAGGCTTGGCTCAACCACCATAACTAAGCCGGAACCACACACCAGGCCACGTGAAATAGCATTGTACCAGCGCCCCCCGGGTCTGTGGTGGCGGAGTCCAGCACTGCCGTGTCTTCTGATCATGACAGCAAACCCTTCTCGGTGCTGCCCTTTACAGTGCTGCGGTAGCTACGTTCAAAACGGGGTTTTAGATTCTCTGAATTCCATCTTTGTAAATTCTCACACAAGTCGCTACTAGCTAGCTCTAGGACAGATCAGGAAATATTCAGTTATTTGGCAAACATTTACTGAACTACTGCTATGGGCTGGGAACACAGGGACACAAAGCTGGCTTAGAAGGAGAAACAGGCATGCAGACCAAGGTGTCAGTATAAGGAAAGGCGCCAAGGGACAAAAGAGCAGAGTGGTATTTGGGGGAAGCAGGGAGGCAGCGTCTCTCCTGCATGGCTAGATCATAATGCAACTGAGGCAGGTGGCCAGAGATTTGCCTATACCGGGGCACTGGGGCTTGATTCCAAAGAGGCTTAAGCAGTTTGGACTTTGCCATTTCGGCAGAAGGCAGAGGGGGTTTATCTCCAGCAAGGAAGAAGTAAGAGGAGAACTCTACTTTAGATAACTGGCGGCAGAGTGACAGAAAAAAAAAAAAGACAGTGGAAGAGGCAGAGCAGGGGGGCAGCTCGGTTAGAGGAGCGGGCTTGGAAGGAGGCGTGAGCGTTGAGTGGGCCAGACTGCAGCAGGAGGGACTGGATCCCGGGTGTGTTCACCACAGTCACCACCTAAGGCAGTGTGGTAGCTCCGATGGAAGGAGGGCCCTGGGCCCCGGGGCATTTGCTGAGACTACTTGGAAATGCCCAGGGAACTAGATTGACAGAAGAGGAAGCAATGTTCTTCTCCTTCAAGGAGGAAGGTCGTCGGAGGAGAACGGGGATGCCTGGGGCCCTCCACTCATCTTGAAAGTGTGAGAATCTCTGGTTTGCTGCCTTGCTAATAAGGGTCCTTCTGCTTCTGATGTGGACTTTTTCTGTTTGGGTTTAAGCCTGTTTTCTATGCTTTATTTGGACACAGTTCTTCCTAGGATAATTTAAACAGTTATTGTTTTGCCTGGTTCTATAATACCACCGTGGGTCTCGAGGGTCTCAGCAGGAAATGTGATCACCTTCATGTGGCTAAAAATCATGAAATTGTTTCTGCAGGAAAGCATTGCTCCAAACCCTCTTGCTAAAGAAGAGCTGAATTTCTTGGCCAGGCTGATGGGAGGGATGGAGATTAAGAAACCCAGTGGCCCTGAGCCAGGATTCCGGTTGAATCTCTTTACCACCGATGAAGAGGAGGAGTACGTTTTAAACCTGTTTCTTACAAGGCATATCTAAAAATCCTAAGTGTGATAAGAACCAAAAAATGGCCATTATAAGCCAGTAACACTTATAAATATAGATGTAAAGGTCACAGAGGAAAACCCAGCAAATTAAATAACCTAGTTAAAGAAGAATCCACCAGTATTAAATAGTCTGAACCTTCTGGATTCATTCAAGAAATAGTTCTAATGTTTTACTTAGCAAAGCATAGCTGAACAAGAAGTATTGGAAGTCAAGATAATCATAGTAAGAAAAATCTGCTAAGAAACCAGAGGGGAGTCAGAGCATGATTGATGTCTTTGGGATAAGACAGTCTCCCCCAAAACCAATAGGAAGAGTCATCCACCCAGATTTATACAGAGCTTTCCAGTTTATAGAGCACCTTTGCACCATTATCTCATGTGACCCTCCTCACAACCAAATATTTGGGGTGGGGGTTGCCTTCCAGTTCCATATCCACTGAACTAACTTTGGTGCACCTGTGTGCTTACATGGTAAGTGCCGGGGACACAAAGATGGGAGTGTAAGACCTAGAGCCTGTGCTCAGGAGCTCGCAGGGTAGGAAGAGAATGTACCGGACACAAGTTATTTTCAGTGCCATGTCATAAATGCGCTAAGGGAGGACTCAGCGATTGACTTTGCACCGGCAGATGGAGGGAGTTGGCATCTGGGCTTGGTGTTGGAGTTTGCCAAGCAGAGGAAGGGGAAAAACATTGTTGGCCCAGTTCAGTACATGCAAAGGCACAGAGACAGATAAGGACTTGACTTTCCGGAGCATCGGGTGCACTGCTTGGGGAAAGGGCAGAAAGCTGAAGGGAAGTGGCAGAAGGTGAGGCAGAAAAAACAGGCAGCGAAATTATCAGATGCCAGTGCGCCACACTGGCAGGGAGAAAACCCTAACCTTTGACCCATTTCTCTACCACCTCCTGCAGACATGCAGCGCTAACCAGGCCAGAAGAGTTATCCTATGAGGTTCTCAACATACAAGCTACTCAGGTGGGTGCAGGCAATTACACAAGCCAAGCGTCAGTCCCCTCCTCATCTCCTGCCAACCTCGAACGTCCCACGCCCTCCCTTCTCTCTCACCAGCATGTATCCAGAGTCCCTATTCTGACACGCATTACAGTGGCGGGACAAAAATTCAACACCATCTGTTCGGAGAAGCCGCCTTGCTGAAACACCCTTCTCAGCCTTGCCCTCTCACTTCTCCAACAGGACCAGCAAAGGAACGAGGAGCTGGCTCGCATCATGGGGGAGTTTGAGGTCATGGACCAGCCGAGGCAGAGCGCCAGCAAGGGGGATGATCTGCTTGCCATGATGGATGAGTTATAGCTGTGCTGGCCCGGCTCGCCCCCCCAAACGCCCCCTATGGGACAGGCTGCCGGATAAGGACCCTGGGGATGCTCCAGGGAGCAAAATGATGCTGCGAGTTTTATCCTGAGCGTTAACTCCCATTTCTGTCTATGTTGTAATGAACTACGCAAGTCTCCCTCAAGGAGTGCCATGTCTGGAAGGCACACACATACGGAGGTTTTCAGCAAAATAGATTCTGGCTTTTAAATTGGACCTTTTCTGTTTTCTTCTGGCTTTATGGCAACCACCCAAAGCATCCTGGGTCATAGGTTCAAGCACCAGAGTCGCTGAGGGGGCGCACCTGTTGCTGCTCTCAACTGTACCTTTCCTGTGGACACGTGCAGCCCACAGATGCCTGTCTGTGGGTCATCACGAGACTTCAGAGCTTCCTGGGACGTACTCAGCCTTGTGAGTGAGTTTGAAATAGGTGGGAAAGGCGGTTGGGGCCCAGTTTAGACAGTCCTCCTCTACCCTGGAAATTGTAACCTCAGAGGCTGAGTAAGCCAAGCCGTGACCGGGAACACGCAGCTGGGCCCCACGCGGAGCAGGTGGGTGTTCTCTGTCGTTCTCTGCACATCTCACTATCTGTATGTGGTGTGGGCTTATCCCATATGGAAATGTGTAACAAGGAAACGGTTTGCTTGATATGTACGCCTCACCCCCAGAGTCTTCCTTTGCCACTTAGTGTTCTTGCCTTCTAAAGACCCCCCAGCATGACGTGCCATGATATCCCTCTCCACTTCACCCTCAGGGGCCAGGCAGAGCCGTAAGTGAATGGGATACGTGGGAGGCACTCGTGGTGTGCCACTTTCCCTTCCACGGACCAGATGAGTTACTTCCCCTGGCAGGAGGCCAAGTCTAATTAAGATCCATGTAAAATATCTCAGGCCAGGGCTGCCCAAACTGCTTCAGAAAGGAGCATTAGCCCTCCACCACATGATCCTCCTGGACTGAGTAACTGGCAGGCTCAGGGCCAGCCAACATCTAGAGGTCAAGGTCCATTGAGTCCCATGGAGGGAATATCCAGAATGGTGGAAGGCAAGAGAGAAATGGAGCTGAGCTGGTCATTGCCTGGGATGGAACCAACCACAGGGACCACTCTGGCCCCTCATACCGTGACAAGAGTGGAGGCAGACGTACTTCTGGAACGTGAGGGCCAGGGAAGCTGTCTTTAGCCTGCCTTAGGCATAGCATTTGGATACAGAAAGATAAGTCACCAAATGAACTTCACGTTGCTTCCTACCAATGAGAGTTAGACTTCTTACCTGCAGAACCCCACAGAAGGTCTCTTGGGGAGGAGAAGCATAGCGTGCCATAAGCTGCTTGTTACAGCTTATAAAGTACCCTCTGTTTTAGTCTCTTTTAAGCAATCTGGACACTAGTTGGGGTGGCCTGAAAAGGTGACAGATGAAGGAAAAGGTTCTATCCTGTTCTGAGTCAGGTTCCCACCATGCTGCTACAAACCCAGGCTTCACTGCTTGCTCCAGGCCTGTCCTAGGGCCTTGGAGGTGGGCCACCAGCTGCCGAGAAGCAGCCTCCTCCCCTCACCTATCCCAGAGCCATTCGGATGATTTCAAACGTGTCTGTTCCCTCAGTAAATAAACAAGATACAGATCTCCGGTAGGGCAGCCTTGTGATGAGGCAACCTTTGACTTTCATGTCTCTGTACTTGCACAGATATTGAGAAAAACAAGTTTACCTGTGTGGTGTTTGAGGGCATGCAGAGAAAGGAGGCAAGAAGAGGCAAAGAAAATGGAAGACAGGGATTGCTCTGGCAAGAATGTGGGCTGGGTACTAACAACACAATAGTGTTCATTTAAAACCAGGCCCCCGCGTACGAGAGTATCCTACCGTGGTGCCCAGTGCGCTTCAGGGGAAGGTGGCCTGTCGTCAGAGTCAGGACATTGGGCTCTGGCCCCAGCCCTGCCCCAAATTCACCATGACCTCTTGGGCAGTCACTCTCACTGAGCCTTGGTTCCCTCACCTGGAAGAAAGAGAAAGAACTTGTTCACGGGCTTAAAGCCGGCTCGCCCAGTTACAGTGATGAGTGTATAGATTGCTAGGCCCTGCCCCAGGTGGGAGCTGAGAACTGGGATTTATACCCACACCGCCCCCCACTCCATGCTTCAGGGGTAAATTTGCTCTCTTTCAGCTCTCCTGTGACTAACCTCTTCACAGCTGAGTTTCAAACTATTCCATTCCTGTTCATATAGTGTTGGCATGCCCTACAGATTATGGAAGGCAAAGTTCTAGAAAAGTCTTCTGAACGAAAGTTCTTTAATGGCTCCCAGAAGAAAGGTGTAAAAAGTGAGAGTGAAGGGGAAAAAGAAAAGGGGGATAGGTGTATTTAGCCCTGCCCTCAGTTCTAAGAGGAAAGCCACCTAGTCCACATATGTATCTAGCAATTCTTTTTTTTTTTTTTTCAAGATTTTATTTGTTCACCTGACAGAGAGAGAGAGCACAAGTAGGGGGAGTGGGAGAGGGAGAAGTAGGCTCCCCACTGAGCAGGGAGCTCAACGTGGGGCTCAAACCCCAGACTCTGGGATCATGACCTGAGCTGAAGGCAGACCCCCAACCGACTGAGCCACCCAGGCATCCCATGTATCTAGCAGTTCTTAAAGGTGAACTCACTTTTTCCACCCCCAACATGGTAACCAGATCCCGGAGATCCTCAGGTCTAAACAGGGTCACAGTCCCTCATCCACTTGCACCTGCTTTATCACCGGTTTATATCCAGGATAGAGGTCAACTTAAGCCATGGAAAACCACAGAAAGAGAAATGCAAACTTTAGAAAATATATCTATTTACCATAGTACCTCATCATAAAGACCCAAATTAAAATCTGAAAACTAATACAACCTTTATTGTAACCTTCACTCCCTTTGTATTGTGCCCTGGGTAACTCCTCCTCAGCTGCCAAATTCCTGGATGGCTGGCAGGAGAGGGGGTTAAAGGAAGTGTTTACCAGGGGTTGGAGTACAGAAACCCCATCACAGTTGGATCTTGCCCTCACAGCTTTGTGACTTAATGTGAAATAAATTCTCAGATCATAACTCACCCTTTTCAAATGAGAACGTCAAAATGCATTCCAAGGGCCAATGGAAATTACTCTGAATTATTTGATTAACACTTCCCCCCACTACTCACACACACACACACACACACACACACACACACACACACTACATTCTTTTTGTTTCTGGCCAGTGGTGCCTTTGCTGACAAAAATAACATTACCTTCTCTGTCAGTTCCCCAAACTACATAAAACCCCAATTGCATTAGTCATGGTGAAGCTACTCCGCTAAGAGCTGGGGCAGGCCCAGGACTCCTAAATCTGCGACACGCACATTTGCCTCAGATCACTCTGCCCTCCTTTGTCTTTATAAAACTCTCTAACTTTTGAAATGTTGAGGCCATTGTTTTTTTTGTGGGGGGCGGTCCAAGGGGAAGTCATGGTGTCCGCCAAGGACCTTTGATGCAGGTTTTCTGGATGTCCTATCCTAAAGGCCTCTCAGCTTCAGTTACCACTTTTTTTTTTTTAGATTTTATTTATTTGATAGAGAGAGACACAGAGAGAGAGGGAACACAAGCAGGGGGAGTGGGAGAGGGAGAAGCAGGCTTCCCGCCGAGCAGGG